AACAGACTACTCTCTAGTTGTGCTGGCTTCTCATTGGCATGGCTTCCCCTGTTGTGAAGCTTGGGTTCTACAGTGCACTGACTTCAGTAGTTGCTGCTTCGGGGCTTTAAAGCACAGGCTCAATAGTTGTGGGGCACGGACTTAGTTGCTCTGTTTCATGTGGGATCTTCTGGGATCAGGGATTGAACCCATGTCTCCTTCATTGACCGGCAGATTCTTTACCACTGAGCCACCAGGGAAAAAACCCTGTCCTCGTTCTCTGTTCCTTTGTTAGTATACCATTCTATTTTTTGTGGTGTTAATCAAGTGGTTGTATGATTTTATTTTCTCTCCTTTGTTAGCTTATCAGCTTTATTTGCTTCCATTTTTTATTTAATTGTGCTAAAATTTGCATTATGTATTTAGAAATGATTTAAGAGTGCTTCCTTATGCTATATGGTTTCATGGGTAGTTTGAAAATATATATATTTCTATATAATACACAGATACACATATATGCATATGTATGTACATTTGATTCTGTGGTTTTTTATTGAAAAGTATAAATGTATAAGTGGACCCAAGCATTTTAGAACCCGTGTTCCAGGTTTACCTGTCCTGAATGATTACGCTACATGTTGAATCTTTAAATCAACACCACCACCACCAATCATATACAAAGGATTAGTGATTGCCAGATCAGGGTAAGGAGGGTAGATGAAATGAGTGAAGGATGTCAGAAGTTACACACTTCTAGTTTATAAGGTAAATCCTGAGGATGTGCACAGCCTAGTGACTTTAGTTAACAAGACTCTGTTTTATAGTTAGAAATTTCCTGAGAGCATTCCTGGTGGTCTGGTTATGAATCTGCCTGCCAATGCAGGAACAGGGTTCGATCCCTGGTGCAAGCAGATCCTATATGCTGTGGAGCACCTAAGTTCATGTGCTGCAACTTCGGAGTCTGCCTGTTGGAACTGCTGAAGCATTCCTGCCTTAGAGCCTGTGCTGTGCAACAAGAGAAGACACTGCAGTAAGAAGCCCGTGCATTGCAACTAGAGAGTAGCCCCTGCTGCCAAAACTAGAGAAAGCCTGAGACCAGCAACAACAACCAGGAAAAGCCATAAATAAAGAAAAAAGAAATTGCCAAAGTAGTAGATCTTAAAAGTTCTCGTCCCACACACACAAAAATTGCAGTCAGAGTTTCTGAGTTCTGGAAGTATACTTCCTTACCTTTTCACAGGTCCAGGAAGTGTGTTCCTGGTAAAAAACCATTGACAGAGGCGTGAACTGTAGAAGCCGCCTTTCACCTTCAGCCACCTCCAGTTCTGTCCTGCTCTTGGTGGGATCATTTGTCAGAATTCATGGCTGAAATCTAACATTTTTAAAGTTTTCCCTGTTTTTTCCCCTAGGAATTGTGTAACTTCAGCTCTTACATTTTGGCCTTTGATATATTTTAAATGCTTTTTTGTATATGGTATTAGGTAGGACTCTAACTTCATTCTTGTACATGTGGCTATCCAGTTTTTACAACACTATTTGTTGAAGACTCTATTGAATAGTAATGGTCTTCTTGTCAGTAATTATTGGATCATATATTATGAGGGTCAATCTTTATAATCTGAAGTCCATTTCACTGGAGTAGATATCTGTCTTTATGCTATTAGCATGCTGTTTTGATTCCTGTAACTTTTAATATGGTGTGAAATAAACCTTAGGTGCCTTTCATGAATCCCACATGGTCATGATATGTAATTCTGTTTATGTAGTTTTTGAATCAGTTTACTGATGCTTTGTGATTTTGCCTTTATGTTCATGAGAGATATTGGTGTATATATTTTTTTGCATCTTTTTGGTTTGGTATTAGAGTAACGTTGGCCTCACAGAATTAGTTAGGAAGCAGTCCTTCTGTTTCTGTCTTCTGAATGGAATTGTAGACAATTGTATATCTTCCTGAAATGTTTGTCATATTTCACCAGTTAACCAGTCTAGGCAAGTTGCATTCTGTTTTGGAAGATTACTCCTTATTGATTCAGTTACTTTAACAGATGTATACGTATTTAGATTGTGTATTGTTGTGTGGGTTTTGGTAGACTGTATCTTTCAAAAAACTGATCCATTTCATTTAGGTTATAACATTTATGGTCTTGGAGATGCCTGTATATTTCACTATACCATTTAATGTCCATTCCGTGTAGTGGTTTTTCCTCTTTCTTTAATTCTTTCTCTCTTTCTCTCTCTTTGTTTTCTTTTGGCTGTACCTCCAGGCATGTGAGATCTTTCTTTCCAAACCAGAGATCAAACTGTCCCCTGCAGTGAAAGTTACAAAGACTTTACCATTGAAATACTGGGGAAGTCCTCTTTTATTTTTGATATTAGTAATTTGTGTCCTGTCTTGTTTCTTTGTTTTTTTCTGTCTTGTTTTTGTGATTACCCTGATGAGAATATTTTTTATTTTATTGGTCATTTTAAGGAACCAGCTTACTTTGTCTTCGTTATTTTTCTTTGTTGATTTCTTAAATGATATCTTTTCTTCCTCCTTTGGATTTAATTTTCTCTTTTTTCTAGTTTTCTAAGGTGATTGCTTTTAGATCTTAATTTTTTCTAATATATGCATTCAGTACTATAAATTGCTGTATAACCATTGCTTTCACTGCATGCACATATTTTGAGAAGTGTTTATTTCAAGATACTTAAAAATTTACCTTGCGATTTCTTGTTTGCTCCATGTTTTATTTGGGTTGTTTGATTTCTCAATATTCTGCAATTTTTCAGCTATCTTGCTGTTACTGGTTCTAGTGTGATTCCACCATGCTCTGAGAACAGACATTGTCTGATTTCTGTTGTTTCAAATTTGTTAAGGTGTTTTTTTCTGGCCCAGGATGTGCTCTGTTTTATAAATTTTCCATGTCAGCTTAAGACTACTCTGCTGTTAGATGGAGTAGACTTGTCTGTAGGTGTCCAGATACCCAGTTGACTATACTGGGTCTTTATTGCTGTTCAGGCTTTTCTCTAGTTGCAGCAACTAGGGGCTACTTGCCAGTTACGGTACACAAACTTCCGGTTTGGTGGCTTTTTTTTTTTGAGCACAGGCTCTCAAGCATTTGGTCTTCAGTAGTTGCGGCTCCTGGGCTCTAGAGCACAGTCTCAGTAGTTGTGGCATGTGGACTTAGTTGCCCTGCCGCATGTGCGATCTTACTGGACCAAGGATTGAACCTGTTTGTCCTGCATTGGCAGGCTGATTCTTTACCACTGAGCAACCTGGGAAGCCTCTGGTTAGATGCTAATATAGTTACTAACATTTTTATTTTGAATTCTGTTAATCTCTCTATATCCTTTTACTTTAATGTTACATGCATGTTTTTATTTAAAGTGGGTTTTGTTGTTTTAGAATTTTATTTATTTAGATATGTTTTTAGCCCGTGCTGGGTCTTCATTGTGGTGCACAGGCTCTGGAGTGTGCAGAGTCATTAATTTTGGCCTGCAGGCTTCGTTGCTGTGGCATGTGGGTTCCTGACCATGGATTGAACCAGTGTCCCCTGTGTCGCACTTCAAACAGTGAAACACTGGAGCACCAGGGAAGTCCTATAGTGTGTTTCTCAGAGACAACATATCACTGAATCCTGTTTCTGGATCCACCCTGATGATCTTTCTCTTAATTTGTACATTGAGACTATCGATGTTTAGTATATTGATATAGTTTGATAAATATCTAATGTATTTGTTATCATTGTATAAAATTATCCTTGTTCTTTGTTCCTGTGTTAGTCTACCATTCTTCCTTTTTGGGTATTTATAGAGCATTTTGTATGATTTTGTTTTCTCTCCTTTGTTAACTTAACCACCATTTGCTTCTCTTCATTTTTTATTTAGTTGTGCTAAAGTTTGTATTATGTTTTCAGAACTCATTTAAGACCACTTCTATATAACATTATAGATAGTTTGAGATATATACATATATATATATATATATATTTCCATCTTGTAATGTCTTAGTTCCTGACCAGGGATCAAACCTGGACCCCTGGTAGTGAAAGTGTGGTATCATAACTGCTGGCCCACCAGGGAATTCCTACATAATTAAAAAAATCGTAACTGAAGTTCCGTGGTTGCTTAGTTGAATAGAACCCCAGGCTTTCATTGCCATGGACCAGTTTGAACAAGGTATTATCTGTTAGATCTGAAAAGATATTTTTCTGAATGAGTCATGCAAATGGGAACCTTGTATGTTAAAAAGAAAAAGTTCAGTATCACAAATGGTCAGAAAATACCAATCAAAGTGACAGTGAGATACCATGTCACACCTGTTCTAATGTCTGTTATGAAAAAGACAAGAAATGCTGCTGGGTAAGATGTGGAGAGAAGGAGCCCCTTGTGCACTCTTGGGAGGCATGTACATTGTCGCCACCACCATGGAGTAGGTCTTGGAGAATCCTTACATTAAATAAGGAACTACAGTATGATCTAGCAATCCCAACTCTGTGTATTTATCCAGAGGGAGTGAAATCATCATATCAAAAAGGTATCTGTACCCCATGTTTATTGTTGCATTTTTAACACTATCCAAGTGATAGAAACAAGCTGAGTGTTCATTGATGGATGAATAGATAACAAACAGGTGGAATATATGGAATATTATTCAGCCCTAAAAAAGAAGGCCATTTTGCCATTTGCAGCATGTGTGTTTGCTTTACTATTTCTTGAACGCCAGCTACCTGTTCCACCCAGATTTTCAGATATACAGGATATACGGTATACTTCTGCACAGGTCACCAGAGGATGTGGTCCTAGTAAAAGCCATTGACAGAGGAGTGAATTATACAGCATGCCTTTCACCTTGGGTCACATCCAGTCACGTGTCCTGTGCTTGGTGAGAGCAGCTGCTTCCTCAGTGTGACTCCAGCTTCATATCCTGAACATGATTCCATGGACTGCTTCTTTTATGTGCCAAACGTACAATTGTGATGGTGTCATTCACTCCAATAAAGTCAACCGGATCTTCACCATCACTTGTTTGTTTTCAGGTTCTTGGCATGGAGTCCAGGATGAAGAGACACCATCTGAACAGAGCAAATCTGCAAGAGTGTCACAGTTTCGCACTCCCAGGGCATGTTTGTCGCCTGAGAAGGCCCAACCTTGTAAGATGTGCATCCCAGTCTTGAGAGACATTTTGCACTTGGCTGAAGAGCAAGGAACAAACAGGGAGCAGAAAGTATACACATGTGCGGCCTGTGGGAAAGAATTCTATTTTACTGCAAACATTCAACAGCACCAGAAGCAGCACGTTAGAGAGAATCCTTTCCTATGTAATACTGAGAGACCCTCATTCTTGAAGACCTGCACAGTTCACCCAGCAGGAAATTTCTCTACCTACTTGGAGACTGGGAATGACTTCATGGCCATCATGGGAGTTCAGCCACAGGCCACTAATACTGGAAAGAAACTGAACAACAGTAAGGAGTGTGAGGTTGTTTTTCACAGTGGAGAAAGTCATCACAGTTTGGGAGCAGGTAAGATAGTTTCCAGCCACACAGACATACTTGTAGAGGATGAGAGAGTCCTCATTAGTGAGGCATTTTGTGAGGTAAACAAATGTGAGAAAGCTGGCACCCAAAGAAGTAATCTTATTCAGCATGTGCAAGTTCACACTAGAGAAAAGGCTTACAAATGCAGCCAGTGTGAAAAATTTTTTGCCTATAAATCCAGTTGCCTTGCACATCAGAGAGTTCACACTGGAGAAAGGCCTTATGAGTGCCCTGAATGTGGGAAATCTCTTGCTAATAGGTCGACCCTCTCTTATCACCTGAGACTTCACACTGGAGAAAAGCCTTATAAGTGCAGTGAATGTGGGAAGTCTTTTCCCGCTCGGTCAAGCCTTTGTCATCATCAGAGAGTTCACACTGGAGAAAAGCCTTGTGAGTGCAGTGAATGTGGGAAATTGTTTAGCCGGAATGAGCATCTCAGAGACCATAAGAACATGCACTCTGGAGAAAAGCCTTTTGCGTGCAATAAATGTGAGAAATCTTTCACTAGTAGCTCCAGTCTTCGTCATCATCGGAGAGTTCACACTGAAGAAAGGTCTTATGACTGCAATAAATGTTGGAAATCTTTTACCAGTAGGTCCGGCCTTCGTTACCATCAGAGAGTTCACACTGGAGAAAGGCCTTATGAGTGCAGTAAATGTGCAAAATCATTCACAACTCAGTCAACCCTTTCTAATCATCAGAGAATTCACAGTGGAGAAAGACCTTTTAAGTGCAGTGCATGTGGCAAGTTTTTTAGCCAAAAGGTACATCTTAGTGCCCATATGAATGTTCACACTGGAGAAAAGCCTTATGAGTGCAATAAATGTGGGAAATCTTTTACAAGTAGGTCAAAACTTTGTACTCATTGGAAAGTTCACATTGGAGAAAGGCCTTTTAAGTGCAGTGAATGTGGGAAATGTTTTACTAGTACCTCAAGCCTTCTTTGTCATCAGAGAGTACACAATGGAGAAAACCCATATGAATGCAGTGAATGTGGAAAATCTTTTGTTGGTTCGAGTAGCCTCCGGTATCATCAGAGAGTTCACAATGGAGAAAAACCTTATGAATGCAGTGAATGTGGGAAAAATTTTACTGCTCGGTGGACGCTTCATGATCATCAAAGAGTTCACACTGGAGAAAGGCCTTATAAGTGCAGTGAATGTGGAAAGTATTTTTCTAATAGCTCGAGCCTTCTTCGTCATCATAGAGTTCACACTGGAGAAAGACCTTATAAGTGCACTGAATGTGGCCGATCTTTTACTACTCAAACACATCTCTATGATCATCACAGAGTTCACACTGGAAAAGGCCTACGAGTGCAGTGAATGTGGGAAAACTGTTTAGCAAAAACAGTGCTTCATCCATTGGAAAGTTCATACTAGAGAAAAGCTTTGTGAGTGCCAGGAATATGTTAAATCTTTCACCCGAAGGTGCTGCATGATTAAATATCAGCGAGATCACACTGGAGAAATGGTTTTATGAATATTGCAAATATTTCTGGCAGTGATGCTGAAGAAGTTTGAGGTGGTAACAGTGGGCAGAACCTCTGGAGCAAATGGACCCTTTTTAGAGAGGAAAGTGAGGCACAGAGACACTGAATCACCTGTTTGTGATCTCCTTAGGACGGACAGGGATCTGGGATTTCATGCCAGGTTGCCTGGTATAGTTTTCAGTGAGTCTGCTCACCGTTCACCCCAGGTTTGGGAACATGAAGAACATCTTGTCCATCCTTAACCCTTCTGCCACCCTGCCACACACACACACAGTGCACCACCCCATGAGCCCTGCTTATACCCCAGCCTCATGCTGATTGCACAGGATTGTTTTCTCTGGAATCAGCATTGATTACTTTTCTGTGGACTTCATCCATTGGAAAGTTCATACTAGAGAAAAGCTTTGTGAGTGCCAGGAATATGTTAAATCTTTCACCCGAAGGTGCTGCATGATTAAATATCAGCGAGATCACACTGGAGAAATGGTTTTATGAATATTGCAAATATTTCTGGCAGTGATGCTGAAGAAGTTTGAGGTGGTAACAGTGGGCAGAACCTCTGGAGCAAATGGACCCTTTTTAGAGAGGAAAGTGAGGCACAGAGACACTGAATCACCTGTTTGTGATCTCCTTAGGACGGACAGGGATCTGGGATTTCATGCCAGGTTGCCTGGTATAGTTTTCAGTGAGTCTGCTCACCGTTCACCCCAGGTTTGGGAACTTGAAGAACATCTTGTCCATCCTTAACCCTTCTGCCACCCTGCCACACACACACACAGTGCACCACCCCATGAGCCCTGCTTATACCCCAGCCTCATGCTGATTGCACAGGATTATATTTTCTCTGGAATCAGCATTGATTACTTTTCTGTGGATGACTCCATTTATCTACCCATCTGAACCAATGCTGTGATTCAGTTTTTATCATTGTCTTCTGATAAGGAAGGGCTGTCCAGCTCTGAGAGGCGGGGGGACTTCCATAGGAGCTCACTACTGCCACATCTTTCATGAGAGTGGTTATACTGCACATGTCCACTGGCTTCTCTTCTTCCCCTCAGAGCAGGCACTCCATCCATCTATGTTCTGACCGTGAGTTAGGCACACCTGAAGCGTGCATTGACATCAGGGGCCCCAGCTTCATTTCTACCCTTGCACATACCCTACTAACACCATCCCGCTTTGGAAGTTCTCCAAGACAGCAGCAGTAAGCCAGGGCCTCTGGACTGCCTCGTTATTTCCCCAGGTTTGACACTGACTTCACCGCTATATGCAGTGATTGGTTTCCAGGGTCCTGTCCATCTTCTTTATATACCCACCTCAAGATGTCCCTGTTGCCCTGTTTTATGGTTGACCTGCTCACTGTTTTGGGCAGTGTGAGGTACATTGAAGGCCTGAGAATGTCCAGTGTGGCCCTCATATGGCATGGTCTCCAAGGCTGTTTTCCTTTACCCCTTTAACCATCACCTCTCTTCTCCCGCCCCTCCAGAGAAATGTAACTCATGATTATATGTAGGAACTTGCCCTCCCTCCCTGGGTGCACACTTGAACAACCTAGCTTAAAAGCTAACAGTGAAATCAGGGTTGACTTCACATGAAGACTAAAAGCTCTGTATAAAAAAATCATTATGATTTAATTGCATTTTTCCCAAGAATTTTTTTCTTGACTGTGCCACGTGCCTGTGGAATCCCCCTGTCCAGAAATCTAAAATGTACCCCGTGATGTGGATGTGTGGAATCCTCACCACTAGACTGCTGGCAAATTCCCTACTCTGGGTTCTTGATGATCAATTTTTGTTTTCCATATGTCTGTTTTTCACCTGTGTGTTCTGTTCGGTAAACTTTCTATTCACATATTTGCGCATCTTTGTCTTCTGAGATTTGGCCATTTTATCTTATTTGACAAGAAGGAAAGGAAAGAAACAACAAAGATATCTGTTAAATTTCACCAATAATATGAGTGATTTTTTTCCTGCATGGAATTCTAGTTCAGAATATTGGAAGTTTGTGTTCTCAATGTTTATACTATTTGTAATGTAATTGCTACATACATCATGTATGTTTTTGATAAGTCTGCTTTATTAACATATGTTAACCTATTCTTAAGTGCAGACATTTAATTACACTGTAATTAAATCAAGCCCTGTTTCACAGTGTTTGCTAATTTCCCTGGTGTAAATGTTCACACAATTACCAATGTCAAATTGTGAACATAATATCACTGAAATGGAGTTGGGAAGCACTGCCAGTAGCCCACCATTGTATGGTTTTTTCCCCCTTACAGTCCCAGTAGCCACAAAATATTTTAGGAATGTAGCTAGTAAACCATAGTAAAATGATTATGGATAGTTTTTGCTAAATTGTTTTTTAAATAGTTTACTGAATGTATATTTGATTTAAGTTTTACATATTTAGAATGTACATTTAGACATACTTGTGTACATCCTTCAAACCAGTTTCCTTCTGCCATTTAAAATTTATCTTCAACATTGTAATCACTGGTGCAAGAGTATATTCCAGTTTAGTAATGACTATTTTCATATATATGTACAAATGGAATGACTGTGTTGGGCCCTTCCTGTATCTTATATCATTTATCCTGTTAATACACATTTTTTTGTGTTTGTGTATGATGATTTACTTAGTCGTTTTTAAGTTTTATAATCCAGGTATCGTGTCTTTCAATTCATAACTTGTTAGAATGCATTTCTAAAATAAAAGAAGCCTTTTCATAACTTCAGTAACTAACAGAAGAAAGAATTCTAAATATCAGTGTATATCAGCACAATCTGGGATACAGTGTGACTGAGTTTGAATGCTTACACACCTTGATGCAGCCTGGATCTACTAACTCATGTGCCATAGCACAAAGGATGTGTGACAGAAGTGAGACCTTGTTGGGGAAGTACAGTGGGACGTGCTGACCCTGCACAGCAGATGTAGGTATGGAATTCACAAACACTCCAGGGAGATTTGGGGCCATGCATGTGATACAGATGCCCCACACATTGTGGTGTGTGGGCCACACACACTCACACAGTTCTTGTGGATCCTGTGTGATAAGGTGAGTGCAGACAGGCTTGGAAAGAACAAACTCTCCCACATCACTGCAATTTTGATGATGCACTGATGTTGTTTAGTTGAGGGACTGGGTCACAAGTGTGTTACAGGTGAAGATTCACAGCTGTGAGCAGCTTTGTTTCACAAGGACTTGGGGTTGGGTTTTACAGGCATTATGGGAAGTGTCCTTCTTCAGCCCTTAGCATTTGGACTAAAGTTTGTCAAGGATGGGTCCCCAGAAGATGTTGGCACTTCCTGCTGGTTATTAATAATCATTTGGTGAGTTATGTTTTTCTACTGGGTAGGAGGGGCAATGGGGTGATGGGTGAGGGCGTTAGAAAGAAGAGCTTTGGAGAAAGGGAGAGAGCCACAGTGGTGACTCCTAGTCCTTCAGGCTCACTCATGACACTTGGGTTAGTCACCAGGAGAGTGAACACAGGCACATCTTGAATTAGGTTCTTGAGGAAGATGGGCAGGACCTTGACAACAAATTACGGCATATGGCTGTGGCCAGTGTCAAATCTCCGGGGACACTGAAGACCTTGTGGGGCTAGCATGTTTGTTGCTGCTGTCCCTTTGAACAACTTCAGAAAAGGGAAGGTGTCTGCAACGAAATGCAAACTGGGTGCAGTGGAGCTGGAGTCCCTGGTGGAGATGCAGACAGCGGTGTGGCTGTGCCACAGCTCGTGGAGTCCATGCAGAGAAGTGCAGAAGAGAAGCAGCGCACCTGTGCAGTGTAGAGGACGCCCTCATTAGAGGCTGGCATCTGGGTGCCCTTGTGGAAACTCCTGAACCTGAGGGGCAAACCCCTCCCTCCACAAGTTGGAAGAACAATAAATTCTGAGCACAGGGCAGTTCAGGTAGATAAATGGGGTCATTCACATGACAGCCATCAGTATTTGTTCTCAGTGAAAAGAAAGCGGTGTCCATCAGCGTGGGGTTGTGGTATGACTAGGGCTCTTTGGGGGAGGGAGACAGGGTGTAAGGATGCCCAAGATGTTCTTTGAGTTCCCGAGTGAATTGGATAGGACAAGGAGTGCAGTGATTAGATTCTCTATGGCCCAAACCGGGTAACCTGAGATGGATTCCCAGATTCTCTTCTGTTGCTGGGGGATCACAAGTAGCAGACAGTCACTTGCTGTGCCTGTTCCACACTGGAAGTGGTCCCTTTTGTGCACGACTGACATTTGCCTCCTACTACCTTCCCACCTCACACTCCTCCAACCCCATTCCTCTCTGTGACCTTTCTGTCTCCTTCTCCATCTAAACACCCTCACGGACTCCCCTGGTGGTCCAGTGGTGGAGGCAAGCCTCCTTGACTGGTTGGAGACACGGTGGGATAGGTTGGAGGAGCCTGGACTCTGTTTAGTAGGAGTGAGCATGTTTCCTCCTGGCCGGGAGGCCATGCAGAATGAGTGCTTCAGCAGCTGCTGGTATCCGATGAGCAGGCTCACTAGACACCCCAGCCATAGAGAAGTGCTCTGGCTCCACAAATTCCATGACCCAGCATGTTGCTGCATCTGGGGCAGTCCCAACCCCAGCATGCCTGCAGAGACCACCCTGGCCCCGCCTCCTCCCTGTCCAGTGGTGCCACACCACAGCGGGGGTGAGGAGGCTGGCAAGGCTGATCAGCTCTGAGAGACCAGGTGGTCTAGTCTTAGGGGCAAGATAATATATGAATAATTGCGCATCCCAAAGACCAAAGAAAGGGGCCAGAGACATCAATGGTTGAATGGTTTGGGGATCTTAACTCAGCCAAAGCAAGGTCCAGGAGAGACAGCCCGGTGGTCCAGACACAGCAAGTAGGATGTGGTAGCAGTCTGTGTTACTCCAGAGTAGATTACCGAATTTAGAGAGAATTGTGACACAATTGGTTCATGAGTTAATTAGAGAAACCAGCAAAAGAATATGCGTTTCGCAGCCTCCTTGTTACACTGTCAATGTCAAGTTATGATCTAAAGATTAGAACTATCACAAACTGGGGCCATATCAAGAGGGTAGTCATTACTGATTAGGGCTTAGCATTGAGTGGGAAGGTCCTTCATGTGAGTAGGGACTAGTTGAATAAGACTGACTGGGCCAAGGGATATTCAGAGATCTGTTTGGGTGGCCTGATTATACATCAGTGTTTCTTTTTTTCTTCACATCAGGGAGAAAAAATGAGCAACAGGTTCCCCCGCTTGCTCCCTAAGGGGTCCTGCCTGACATCTTTGGTTCCCTGACCAAAGCTAACAAAATGACTTTTCCCCTGGCTGCACAAAGGCGCTCAGTGCATCTTCGTTTGGACGAGCGGTTGAACCCAGACCCATGGCTGGGAACATACCAAGTGCTAATCACTGAACCACCAGGGAGTTCCCTAAAATAACACTTAAGGCTGCATGGCTTTCAACAGAAATAGGATAGTTTATTTGCTTCCAGTTTCCGCTGGATGTCGGCTTGAGTTGGCTTTAAGGAGTTTTATGTATGTATGCTAAGTCGCTTCAGTCCTGTCCGATTCTTTGTGACACTGTGGACTGTAGCCCTCCAGTCTCCTCTGTCCACGGGATTCTCCAGACGAGAATACTGGAGTGGGGAGCCATTCCCTTCTCTGGGGTGTCTTCCGGACCCAGGGATCGAACCTGAGTCTCCTACAGCTTCTGCATTTTTAAACCACTGAGCCACTGGGGAAGTAACCCGAGACCCTGTGGAAACACTTCAGTGATCAGAAGTATTCAGGACAAATTCTCTTAAGCCCTTCCTCCCTCAGTGGATCCTCCGCCCACCTAAAAAGGATGAAACACCTCCCCCGCAACAGGTAGGATTTCGGCGATCCTCCCCCAGCGGTTTCGCTTTTCTTCCCAGTCTTCCTGTGTGTGTTGGGGTGTGTGGGGGGCGGGGGGGGGGGTCCCTTGCTTGAGACCTTGGCACTACATTACCCAGAAGACTTTGCGCTAAGGCTACGGTCATCCCGTGAACGTGCAGAAGCGGGGCGTTCCCTGGAGACCGAACATCCGCCAGTGGGACTTCTGGTGTATTCCCGGCGGACATTTTGATTGCTGGAGAGTCTGTGACCGGTCAGAAGTCCTGGTGTCCGGTGTTGGGAGCGAGGTGAAGGGCCAAGGAGGAAGAGGAGGCTCTGTGCTCACTGGACAGTAGCGCGTCTTAGGGTCTGGCACACCGCCGGCTTCCGGGAGTAACCCGGCAGAATCCAAATGAGTCCTTGGAGTGTATCTTCTGCTACGCTGAGGGAACCAGCTGAGGTAAAGGCCGCGTGCTCCGGCTCCTTCCCTGGCAGATTCCCCATCCGAATATGAACTCCCCGAGTGAGAGGCTGCTGGTCCAGGGCAGTGAGACCTTCAGGAGTGGTGTCCCTGTTTCTGATGACCAGTGTTATGAGGTGTGAATGAGACTTGGAGATGCAGCTGAAGCGGGAACATTGGGGAACCTGGAGTCCATCCTGTTTCTGTGGGGGACAAGGTTTGAGCCCAGGCGGCACCTGGATTGGTAGATGAGGGTTGGTACCTTTTTTCTTAGGGCCCTGGCCGTGGTGGAGAGTTTTGAGCACCGGAAGGACAGGGTCTGGGTCAGGCTTTTAAACATTCTCCGAAACCCGTTGACTGGAAGAGCAGAGTGTAGGGGGAGATAAGGACTTTGACGCGGAGCGAAGTCGTGGGTTTTCCTTGGGCACAGCTGTGAAAAGGGGTATCACTGGGGACAGTGTCACAGAGGAGACGTTAGCCAGTCACCTGGCTCTGGTACGGCCAGAGGGCCAGGGAACACCTGAACCGCTGAAACACCTCCAGGGTCACTTTCCTCCTTGGCGGGCCAGTTTCGCAGATTGCTAGCCTGCAGAAGCACTTTTGGTAAATGGAGCTTTTCCCAGCCCCTCACTTATTCTAAACCACCCCCCGCCCGCCCCAAACCCCACATTCTCTGCATTTGAAGTGCATTTAAGGGGCTCTTCACCTGCTATTATTCTGCCACTCTTCGGTTTGGGGACTTTGGAGAACCATATTCTCGGGGTCATGAGAGCAGACTGGGTTCTCTGGAGGCGGTGTGGAAGTTTCTCCTTCAATCGGTACCAGTACCTGGAAGGGCTTTGAGGTGAGTCTGAGGTGGTTTAGGTCAGTGCAGGTCTCATTGTTTTCTGGCGTTGGTGAACAACAGGCAAGAGCAGGATGTCAGCTTCAAAGGACTGCCTCTGTTTTCTGAAGGTTCAGATCAAAGGAGGAAGGTTCTTGCACCCAGGTCTTTGGAGGCTGCATCTGACTGGGCAGTGGGGGAGATGTGTGGGAAGATGGATGGTGGGTTTTCAAGAATGAGACTGTTGATGGTTTTATTTGTCCCTGTTATACCAGGGTAGTGTGACCTTTGAGGATGTGGCCGTGTACTTCTCCTGGGAGGAATGGTGTCTTCTTGATGAGGTTCAGATACACCTGTACCTTGATGTCATGCTGGAGAACTTTGCACTTGTATGCATGCTGGGTAAGGCCTGCACACTCACCTCCCTCCTCTGAGCTAGGCTCTGCCTTTCTCCTTTTTCCCAGGGACAGGTCTGTCCTTGTGACAGCTGGACAGTGAACTCTGTTTTTAATTTATTTCTTTATTTGGCTTCTTCTTCCTCGGGTCTTAGTTGCAGCAGGTCGTATCTTCATTGTTGCAAGGGGGTTCTTTCCTTGAGGCGCGCCGTCTTCTCTCTAATTGTGGCG